AATACCAGTACACTAAAAGTAGAGGTGATTGTAACATCAAAAATTTTTGTTAAAGTTTTGATATATTGAAAAGTGTCTGCCATTCATTTTATTATTTTCTTTAATTCTGTAGAGCCGTTTTTCTATCCAAGCAATAATTACGAAAAATAGTCTAAAATATGTATTGCTCGTTCGATCGGTAATAACAGGAAGATCCAGGACCCTCTTAAGCGGTATGGCCCACGCGTACTTGCTCAGCACATCAATAACCGTAAGTATGTAGTGGTAGCCTCTGTTGACGCGCGAATACGGACGCATGTCTATCACATCCGCTTGCCAGAGATCATCGTATCCGCGTACGATAACGCGTCTACGGGGAAAATTTCTTCTCGCCGAAGCATGCAATTTTTCTACGAGACGTTGTTTTTCGACTGTAGCATGATTCCTCGCCATAGCTGTCTTATTATATGTCTACTGAGTCAGTCGTTTTATTATGATNTGATAGATATTGAAGTGTACGCTGAATTTGTTTTATAGAGTCGCGCAACGCTTGCATGTCCTGTTGCAATGCNATAATTTTTCTCTCACGTGTCTCCAGCCATTCATTCACATTCGTGACACACATATCTACGTATCGTTTGTTGGCGGCGTCAGTGTCGGTATCGGGTTGCGCTACATGCAGTATCTTGCGCGACCTTGCATCGTAGCCGGAACCGACAAAGAAAGAAGCGTTATTACGCACGTAATTTCGCAGTATTGCTCTTTCTCATAATAATAATACATCAACGCTCCGTGTGTTCCGAGCAATATCCCGAATTTGTTGATTGGCATGATGGCGCGCACACGACTGACTCTAACGTCGGCGCGCTATTTAATTTATAATGAGACCTGCTTCGCTCAGTTCTTCGATAATCGACAGAATTTCGTTATTGTGAGCATTATTGCCAGCCTGACGGGATGCGTCTAGCAATCGCAGACGGTCGACGAGTTCATTGGGATCGTCCCAGTGCGCGAACTCGATTTCTCGATCATTTAGCGTCATATTACGCGGTATACCCCTCCCCTGCTTAGTACGCACACTGGATACTAAAGGTGCAATTATATATCTATATTTATATCCTTTGTTACCCAGTATTGCGCCAAGCTGGTTATGATGTTTTCTATGAGCATTTGTCATTTCCAATATTGTTTTGTATCCTTGTTTATCTTCTTCAGTATATAACTCACTCCTAGGACATTTCATGAAAATCAGTTTGTACAATTTTTGTGTTGCTTTGAATCGTATACCATCTACGAATATATTATCTTGTTCATCCACGTCAAAATGTTTATCACCAAGCATCATTCCATCGTTGTCGAAATACACACCATATACGTAGTCTATATCGTTCTCTTTCTTACCACTCAGAATAGCTTTCATATATTGTTGCGCCAACGGTCCAAAGTGACTTTTAAACGTTTCTAGACCCTTCAACGTTTGCATTTGACGTTGAACAGTCGACTCAAACACTTTGTTGGCAGTAACATCAGTGGCAACGATAGTATCAACCGATGGAGTATCCCATGTCAATTGTCGTTTGGTTCGTTCTTTCGTTGGAGTAGAAGTCACCATTGCAGTGTTATATCGTGCGCGTTTTGAATTGTGCAGAGTAGGGGACAATGTTTCGTTCGATGACGTCTGCATTCGTTTCCGCTTCATTTGGGTCTCGTTTTTGAGAAACAATGTATTTGGCAAATTAGTTTCAGTATTTTCAGCAATCTGTTTTAAGGGTTCAATAATAGGTTAGAACTGTCTCTCTAATGCAATTTCCTCTTCTAGTTTACCGGTTTTTAGAGCGCGATATTTTTGACGAATGGATTGACGCGTTTTTGCGATCTCTTTTGCTACTTTCTCGCGATTTATAATTTTACTGCTTTCGTCAGCCATGTTGCTCGCATCGGTAGGAGATAATACTTGGTTGATGTCTCAACACCAATTAACCACTCGACGGTATTGCGAATTCGTTAAATCCTTTTCTATAGCGACCTTTGTCCAAA